CCCTATGAAGTATATAATCTTCTTGTCCATTTTTGCAAAAAGGCCTGCTGAGGTTTGGAGTGGGTTTGCATTGAATCTGTGGATCATGGTGGGCAGCACTGACATCTTAACAATATTAAATGTTCTAGCCTGGCCAGCATGGCTCAGTAGTTGAGCGGTGACCTATAAACCAGGAGGTCACAGTTCAATTGCCAGCCAGGGCACTTGCTCAGGTTGCAGGCTGGATCCCCAGTGGGGGGCGTGCAAGAGGCAGCTGGTCAATGATTCTCTCTCATCGTTGATGTTTCTATCTCTCTCTCCCTCTCCCTTCCTCTCTGAAATCAAGAAAAATATATTTTAAAAACCTGTTCTGACCCATAAGTCTTCCCATTTATTTATGCCTTCTTTAACTTCTCTCAACAATATTTTATAGTTCTTAGGATATAGGTCTTGACTACCTTTTGTCAGATTTGCCACTGAGTAACTCCTATTCTTCATGCTATAGTGGTTGTTACCTTCTACTTCCAACAGGTTGCTACTTAGTTTATAGAAATACAATTCAGTTTTTGCATCTTGACCTTGCTACACTCACTTTGAAAAAATATATATCTTTATTGATTTCAGAGAGGAAGGGAGAGGGAGAGAGAGATAGAAACATCAACGATGAGAGAGAATCATTGATCGGCTGCCTCTTGCACGCCCCACACTGGGGACGAGTCCACCACCTGGGCATGGGGCCTGACTGGGAATCGAACCCTGACCTCCTGGTTCATAGGTGGATGCTCACCCACTGAACTACGCCAGCTGGGCAAACTCATTTTACTACCAGTAGCTTCCATGTAGATTCCTTAGGGTTCTTTCTTTGTAAAATCCTTAGGATTGTCTACAAAGATGATCACGCCTCCTGCAAATCATATGAGTTTCTCTCCTTCCTGTCCAATCTCTACGCTTTTAGTGTTTTTCTTTTTTTTTTTCTTTTTTGCTTCATTTCCCCGACTAGAACATCAAGTACAAGACTGAATGGACATGATGAAAATGGATCCCCTCGCTTCATTTCTCATCTCAGGAACATCGTTATAGATGCCCTTCATCATATCAAAAAAATTTCTTTCTCTTCCCAACTTGATGAGGAATTTTATCAGGAATGGACGTGAAATTTTGTCACATGCGTTTCCTGCATCTATACAGAAGATCATGTAATTTCCCTTCTTTCTGGTTCGTCACGGGAACCCAAGCTGCGTGAGCTGCGTGTGGCTGCCTCTATTTTTCTCGCTGGAACTCTGCCCTGGCTTACCTTTCCCAGCACCAGTGAGCCCCACTCCAACCCAGGCCCTTCCATCTGTTCTCTCCGTCCCTCTGGGGAGCGGTTTGGCCTGGGGTTTGCTGCGGAGACAGCCCTGCTCCGCCTGCAGCCTCGGCAAGGCTGGCGCCGAAGGAAGTCAGCGGCTGCTCAGGGGAATCTGAGTCCCAGGGCGTCCTCCCGGCCCGTCTTCAGACTGGGAGCTTCCCAGCTTCCGCTGAATGCATCCCCTGCAAATTGTGAGATAAGCTCTTTGGAGTCTATTAATCTATTATTGTTGTAAGAAACCCTCTTATAGGTTTGCCGCATTTGTGCTATTACCTGGGGAAGAGAAAATTCTTTTTTCTCCAGCTGATGCTTTTCTGGAAATGCAGTAAGTTAGACGTGTGCTCTAACACCCCCTCAGCGCCTTCGTGGGGGGCAGTGCAGGCAGCACCTTGGGGTGCCGGCCTGGAAGCCCGGGCTGCCTTCTGATGAGGGTTCTACTGGTCTGCGTGGGGGAAAGGAGGCTGCTGTGGAGAAGGCCCCGGGAAAGGCCCGTTTCTTTAATTGAAAGGGCTCTCCGCTCTGCTGGGATTCCGTTGTTCCCTCTTAGAGGCGCCCAAATGCCCTTGCTTGAGGAAATGATGGTGGAGAGAGATGGAAGCTGTTTTTATAAAATGTCTTATTTGGCAAAACGGAAAATGGCTACACTATGTCGATCCATCTACTACTACTACTACTACTATTATTATTATTATTACTACCATGCTTTTACTTTTTTGATTGACAAGTGCTGTCCAAATGTCTGGGAACTGCTGGCCTGGTAGCAAGCACACGGGGGTGGGGGAGAAGTGATACAGACCTGGCTTTCAATCTAACTCTGCCACTTGGTAGCGATTCGATCTTGATTAATCATCCTTGTCATCGCAACAGAAACAACGGTAATAAACATGGTAATAAACAGTCGCCGGTAATAAACTTTCTCTGTGCCACGCACGGCTCTCCGTCCTTCAGGTCCATAAA